TACTGTTTGGGTTTCTATCTGCAGAACGAGAACAATGTCTTTGTAAAACAGGTAGGAATCTACAAAGGGAAGCATCCTGTTTACTGATGCACTGATGATCAGAATTGTGTTGCTGTTGCATGGAAAGCAGGCACTGTCACAACTCCTTGGGGTGACTGACGATGAGCTCAGGTGTGGGTGTGTTGCGTGGAAGGCAGGAACTGGACTTGCACGCATTTTCCTTCTCTGCTTTCTCAGAAAACATCAGTTAGGACTCTGGGAAAGCTGCGACGCCTGTCATGCTTGTCTTTCTTCCCTTTGTGTGTTCTCAAGTCTCTGTAACCCACTGTGGGGAAACAGAATTCAATCAGTGGACACCTGCACTGCTAATGAACTCTGCCTCATGCTCTCTGTAGGGTCAGCAGACATGGGCGATGGGGCCTCAGAGCAGTACGGACATCTTCCACTCAATGTCGTGTCTGTACTGACAGGAACAATTTCTTGCAATTAGGCTCCTGCAGCAGGTAGTTAACCTGAGGGGCAGCGGCTGATTGTCTCTGTTTAACTTCACTGCTCAGCCTTGGCTCCACGTTCAAACCCTGGTGCTTTGCTGTTCCTTCCCTTCCTCGCTGTTCTGCCCTGCATGGCGGGGTATGAAGCAGAGACAATTGTTATTAATAACCTAAATCAACCTTTGCCTTTTCCACACCTCACCTTGAGCAAGGCAACTACAGCGAACAAAATGAGATCTGTAAAACTCAATAAGAAAATTATAAAACCAGTCATAAAAGTCAACTTTCTGTGAAATGCTGATAGTAGGAGATGCAGTCCCTGAACATTGCAGGTTGCTGTTGGGTCAAAACCCTCCACTTGCATGGACTGAGGACTTGGAGCACACCTGAAGGACCTGTTGGGAGAATTCGTGTCCATCCTGGCCATGTGCCCATCACCACCAGTTCAGAAGAGTTCCTGGTGCTGCAGCCCACCAAAGCAATGATAGATATTGAAGCATTGCTGAGAGATGTGGTATTAAAAAATGCTGTTCAGTCCTTGGTTTTGATGTAATTATTAGTTCAACCAGGCTGAAATGAAAATACAATGTTTGCACAGTGAAATCCCAGAGAGTACATGTATGATTTCTTTGCATGGATTCAAGACTAGTTTTAATACATCAGTGACAGCTGTTCCATTGCTGCTGCCTGCTAAGCATTTCCATGGGTTTTCCAAGGTCTCAGACAGTTAGAAACTTCAATCTATGCAGGTTACTCAGATGTCTTAATATGTAGGATCCCTAACTGTTCATAACTGTTCATAAATTGGGTCAGTTTGTTTGTCTTGCTTTGGTAGGGTTTTTTTTGCAGCTGAAGTTTGGGGTTTTTTTTGAAGGTAGGGTGTTGTTTTTTTTGCAGCTGAAGTTTGAGATCTATATTAGCAGTGTCTCTTAAACTAACCAAGTAATAATTTTTAGGTTTCTCCTTGCTTTATTGTGAAGCTCTAATTCCAAGAATACAGAAATGGAGCAGTTCATCCAGCCTTCAGATGCTTACAGTAGTAGAGGATTATATGGAATGGAATAGTTCAGTTCAGAGGGACCTGCAAAGCTCATCGAGTCCAATGCCTGACTACTTCAGGGCTAACTAAAAATCAAAGCAAATTATGGAGGGCATTGTACAAATGCCTCTTGAGCACTGAAAGGCATGGGACACCACTTATCTAGGAAGCCCGTTCCTTTCCAGTGTTTGACCACCCTCACAGTAAAGAAACTTTTTGCTAATGTCCTGTCTGAAGCCCTCCTAGTGCAGCTCTGTGCCTTCCAGCACGTGCCTTCCAGCCCTTTCACCAGTGCTGTTGGCCTCCTCTGGACATGTTGAAGTACTTGAACATGCTATTTTTACCTTGTGGAGCCCAGAATTGCATGCAATATTCAATGTGAGGTTGCACTAATGTTAAATATATGGATAAAATGACCTCTTTTGATAACTATGCTGTGTTTTATGCACCCCAAAATGTAGTTTGTTCCCTTAGCTGCCAGGGCACGCTGCTGGCTTACATGATGCCTGCTGTCACCAGCACCCACAGGGCTTTTCTGCAGAGCTGTCAACTCTTAAACATGTTTAGTTTTCTTCTTTGTTTTGGGGAAAATAAGTGATTATATAAAAAATAGTTGATGTTATACAGTAGATTCCCAGGGGAGGTACTACAGACATTTTGAGATTAAGATTGAAACAGAAAATATATACTTTTACAGTACAGAAGGACTTTAATAGAGAATGTAGTAGAACCACCATCCTTTAAAAACACTACAAAATCACATCTATGAAAATGAGTTTCAAGGACTTATGTTGGAGTGTGTGACTACAGGAAAACGTTTTCAAAGTTATATAGTTTGTTTTCAGAAAAAGGTGACTGAAAGTAAGAGAAGGAAGTCAGAGTGAATATAAAGCTCTGTTGGTCTTGCTTCAATTTGTTTATTTAATTCAGTCTCATTTCTCTCTCACTGAACCTAACGTTTAAATAGTTTTGACTTATTTATTCATTCCCCTTTGTTCAAGAATCTGTAAGGCCATTAAATGTCAAATCTTGACACCTGCTCTTGAAAACTTCTGAGGCTATGGGTATTTCTGAAATGTGCATCCCATTCCTCTTTTCGTGACATCATCCCGATCTCTTCCCACCCCACCGGACTGATGAATCTCACATTTTAAGCATACACGTGCAGGATGTTCTGTGTTTGTGTAGGGGGGTCTCTGGGCTGTCTGTGAAATCTGTAGTTTAGCTTCTTGCTTTGTAACTCTAACCCATCTGCTGTTTATAGGCAGGTTACTGTAATGAAAGTCTCAGAGTATATCTTAGAGCATGTAGAGTAATATTTTGAGCTATAATTAGAAACTGGTCAAAATGAACCAGCCTGTGCGACTAAGTTTTATGTAAGAAAAGGAAGGGCAAATGTGAACAAGGTGAGATAACTGAGAAATTCAGGTAATCATCCATAGCACAAGTTTTGGACATAGAGCTTGATGAAGTGATGCTGAATCAGTCGCTTCTTACCCTTAGAGTCCTTACGTTCCTTAGAGTCGACACATCTGACATCAATAAACCGAACACCCTCTCATTACCCATTCATTCTATAACATGACTGACTTAAATAAAATAACTGTAATTTAAAAAACGCTGTAACATTAACATGGAGGTTAATTGCAATCTTCAGCTGCACCATTGTTGTGGCACGAAATGTTTCTGCTGCGTCTCAGCCCCACTCTGGTGTGGAGTCTGAGGTTGATTACGTCGGAAAGTTCTGAAGGACGAGCATCTGCATCTGGTTTTGGTTTTCTTTCAACACATCTTAAAGCATCTTGTGCTTACTCGTACGGTTTTAGAGGCTGAAAGCTGTCATAGAGCCATTCTTTGGTTCACCTTAATTATGAGCCGTCTACAGAAATGCTTTTTCTGTGGTTTTAGAGTAAAGGGATGATTATCACCTATGTAGAATGTGGGTATGTATGTGCATACGAGCTTTCTAATTTCAATATATATATGTATCTGACACAAAGCGCTAAAGATCCTCATTTAAGTGTTCTCTGTATGCTTGGGGAATGACATGACTTATGTGGAATACTAAACCAGTCACTACCTTTAGACCCCTGGTTCTATAATAACCATACTAATCCTAAAGTGGCTGCACGTATGTGTATCTGAATAAATACCCAGAATAATGTTCAATTCAGAAGTAGCTGTTTCCCATTGACAGTTACTGTGCTAATCACTAGGGTGTGTTTTTTTTATAATTTTTTTATTTTAGAAGTAACATGGAATATACTGCTTGTTACAGTATGCTTTCTGCCCATGCATTAGTAGGTTAAAGTCAGTGTGACTGGTGTGTGCTTTACTTTCAAGAATTACAAGAAGGCTTTTTCTCTCCTTTGAATATCTTCCAGAGAAGTGTAACTGGTTTTTAGGAGTCCATATGACTTGTTTTGTTTCCATTAAAATGTTCTCTCATGATTTCAACTTATGAGAGGAACAGAACTGGAGAAGTGGGAGAAACACTAAATTGTGCTATAAATCAAGAAACTGTGAAGTTATGTATTTTCTAATTACCTTGCTTAGATATATATTGATCAAAAAAGCAAACGAGCTGTACAAGCTGAAGAAATGTCAGATAAACTGTGACATGTGTAGTATTATTACCATCTGACATATCTCAAACACTGATTTTACTAACTCATCCTTCATTCTTTATATCTGCATGTCTAGCGATGCGTGCATTTATATTTTATGTAAAGGGCAGAGTCTGTAGTCAGAGCGTTTGAGTTATGCTGTTAAAAATAAATTAAGGAACAGCAGGTGAAAATGATTCTTACACATGAATATTCAAACTTTACCTCAGACAGATACTGTAGAAAGAATAATAAAGAGCAATGAAACTTTGTTGAGGCCAAGGCATTGATATGCTCTGAAATAAAACTTTTATTGGCACGAGGTTGAGATGACTCAGAAAGCTCACGGAAGGAGGGGCACGGCCTGCTCGTAGGCCCCACTGCTGAAGTGTTTAAAGGTGCCTGCCAGGAGCTGAAAACTGGAGGGGCAGTGGGGCTGGGGCAGGCCGACAGCCCGCCCCACAATTCTTGTACTCGTGTACCAGATGACAAGTTTGTTCCTTCTCCTCTGACAGCCGTCTCCTGTGTATTTGCATCACTTAGGGCTGGATTCACCAAGCTACGGGTGGGGAGTTTTGTAAAAATGAAGGAAATGCAACATCCACGCTACTTAAATCGTGCTGCCGCTGTTGGGTTCAGTGATGTTTCATGGGAATCAGAAACCTGACCCCTGGTCAGTGCCCTTTGACAGGATTTCTAGTGAAAGCTCAGGAGCCAGAATCCATGTGTGGACTGGACATTAACCTCCTCGTGCACTTGCTCCTTCTCTCCGAAAAGAGGCGCATGAATGGATGACTGATGACTTTTAAGGTTGAATTAATTTTTTTCCTCAGTTATTTATTTTTGTTATTCTTTTCTCCACAGATCCTGTCCACGGACCACAGAATGTGGAAGTTGTCGACATCCGTTCCCGGCAGCTGACGTTGCAGTGGGAGCCCTTTGGTTACGCCGTGACCCGCTGCCACAGCTACAATCTGACAGTCCAGTACCAGTATGTTTTTAACCAGCAGAAATTCGAGGCAGAGGAACTCATCCAGACTTCTTCCCACTACACTTTGCGAGGTCTTCGGCCCTTCATGACCATCAGGCTGAGGCTGGCCCTCTCTAACCCAGAGGGCAAAATGGAGAGTGAGGAGTTGGTTGTGCAGACTGAGGAGGACGGTAAGTTATGTCGGCTTTGCTTGCTTGGTTTTTGTGGGGACACAGTAATACTTTCAAGTCATAAAGAACAGCATAATCCCCTGTCCCACAAGACTTATAAACAGCTTCTCTGGGCAGGATGTGTGTTACGCAAGTAAAATTTGTAGGTGTAAATAATTTCCATTTCACAGCAGTGTTCTTGAAAGGGCAGGGCTCCCTGAAGTGCCTGGAAATGACAAGCGCCAGTCGGAGCTGTTAGTGAACAGCAGTAGGTTTGCTTTCTATAGAAGTTGTGTCCTGAACTACCCAGGGCCCCCAGAGCAAGTTCCTTTATCGTATGGACAAATGTGATTCTGGCATTAGTTGCTTTTTTTTTCCTTGTGCCTTTACATCACGGTCACCCAAAGAGTTATGATGTCTTCCTTTCTGGAGTATCTCTTTTCTTAATGCTGATCTTCTGGATGCAACGTGTAGTCTCGGATGCTAAGATCATTTGATGCTAACTCTTCCATTCCAGATACAAAAGAACAGTTTTCCAGAAGTACTGATGGAAAGCTTTAAAGTGTTATTATCCCATCTGAGCTATTTCTGACCAAGGACTCTCCTAGACTGCAAGCCTCCATTTTGTCTAATGTGTTAAAAAGGAGTGTTCTTCCTCTGCCAGAGCCATAAGGAGTTGCTGTCCTAAGTTTCTGACAGCTGAAAGTGGCTCTAGCAGCCCAGTATATCATACAAGGGACATAAAAGGATGGCAGATCTTTCAGAAAAATGAACAGGGTTTTTATCAGACAGGCTTGGAAGTGTATTTAGTTATCTTTCACAGCATTAAAATTTTGCTTTAGTAGGTGGATTTTTAGCTGGCCTTGTAGCCATAATGAAACATAAATCTTACATTGTACTTAACTGAGGAAATCAATCTATCATATTGATAAGGATGTGCAGCCCAGTAGGTCTTTATGCCAAGGTGCAATCTGGCTGCTGAGGTAGATGGAGCTTTGCTGTTATGGGGGCAAAGGAGAACGCGTGCAATTCCTTGCTGTGTCTAATTATCCTTTGGCATTACGAACAGGATTGTGTTCTCGAACCCTCTTCATCCTCTGTATCTGATGGGCGGCTGGTAGATAGACAAGATGTAGCGTGTAAATAAAATATAAGTACCCAGCACTACAGTCTTACAAATTAGGGGAGAGCACCTGAGGCCTCTAAAAGAGGGCATTGTACATCTCCTGCCTTGCCAATCTGTGTAATGCCTCGAGGTGTTATGTGCATCTCTGCTGCTCCCAGGTGGAGGGTATGAGCGGGGATGGGAGTCAGGAAGGCATGCGGTGAGGTAGGTGAAAGAGCTGGAGTTGCTCACTGAAACTAACTTCTGAAGGAGGCTGTACTGCCTACATTGTTAGTGATCTTTGCAGCATGTTGAAAGGGCAAATCCTGCTTCTTTGTGTATGTGCCTTTCTTCCAGCCCTGGAGGAGCATTTTGTTGATGCAGCAGAGTGTAGACTTGTTAAAGGCCTGATGGTGTTGAACGTTTTCTGGAGAAAGCACAGTTCTATTGGACGTGTCTGTGTGTTACTCCACGAGGATGTTGAGGTCCAGAACAGGGAAAGGCTTAAAGAGAGAGGAGGCTGCCCATTACTTTGCTGCTTGACATTCTGTGGTATTGTGGACATTTCTGTAATTTTAGAGTGATGATGGAATGGCCTGAGGAGTCTAACTCATGACAGAAAAGAGAAGATGGCATTTCAGTGATCAGAAGGTTGTATTCAAGCTCTGAGTAAAAGACCAGTATGTAATGTCATCATTCCTTCACACCACCAGGACAGTCCTAGGTTATGTTCCCAGTTCAATGGCTCACAGGACTTCTGGAAAAGCAGTGCAGCTGGGATGTAGCACTGCCAAATGGATCAGTGAGCACTGCTGGTGTTCTCCTTTGGCCAGTTTGCTCAGTTGTCTCAGTGCCTTCCTGCATTGTGCTGCATGGACATGCTCTGAGGTTTTCCAGTGGTGTGACAACACGTGTAAGCAGGACTATGATCTATATGCATTGGGACTCTTCTCAGAGAAGTGCCAATGTTACTGCCTAAATCATCGTCTGTACGTGAATCCTTATCTGCAGAATGTTAATTACTGTCATTTTTACTAGTGCAAATAACTATATTTGAGGCAAAGTTAAATTATTGAAGTTCTCTTTATTTAAAAGTACTCACTGATTTTCTGCTGTGCTGGGATAAGGGCATACTGGAGCCAGCTTCATGTTTTCATGGATTCTGATTTTGTTCATCACTTAGCAGTTTTCTTACTTGATTCAGTGGAGCTGGTGGTAGCTTCTAACACAGTGTTGTGATTTTTTTTGTTGTTTTTAATCTTTCTGTAGTTCCTGGACCTGTTCCCTTGGAATCCATCCAGGGAGGACCTTTTGAAGAGAAGATCTATGTTCAGTGGAAGCCTCCAAATGAGACAAATGGCATCATTACACTCTATGAGGTGAGGAGAACAGATTGTTGTCAAGGAATACATGCCATAGGGCCCTTTTCATATGTGTGTAAGCCAATCGTGAGCTCTGAGAGATTTCAGAAGGTGCTAAAAGAAGCCTGATTAAAATAGATAAGAATCTTCAAGATAATCTGCTGCTGTCACTGAAAAAAATCCAGTTCAAGGCAGGTGGGGAAGGGGGAGGAATTCCTCACCAGTATTTGTGGCAAAATGAGCCAAGAGATAATCCTTGACTAATGTAAGGAGCCACATTTTGTTGGTCAATGTTGGAGATACTTGGGAAAACTTGTGCAGGTTGCGTATCACCTGCCTAGAACTAGAGTGAACCACTACAATTTTATGTTCTTTGAAGGTGTAGCAGGCTATCTTGTGTATACGTGTAAGGAAGCATGTAATAAAGTGCTTGTTTTTTTTTCCCCTTCTGTATTTTTTAAGGAATTAATCTGAATAGAATCAGTTGCAAGTGCGTTATTTTTCTGGAAACAGAGGTGACCTATAATGGAACACATTTAAAGTAATCCCAGGCAAATGATGCAAAAATAACTCCTTTTAATTTTTAAAGAGGCAGTTTCCTGCTAAAATATTGCCTTGGGCTCAGCTCATTGAAAGAACTTGAGCAATCCAATAGCTTTTCTGGCTCAGCAGCTGCGTAGAGATACTTTAATGCCTCCAGGGGTAGTGATGCATCATGACTGTGCCTTTGCCCCTCAAGTCATATCATTGCTTGAGTCTCAGTGGAGGCACAAACAAATTTTTTCTTTTCTGATAATGACTCTACGCATATTTGACAGCTGAAGCCAAAGAGAAGTCAAGGTGAGTTCCATTTCTCCTCCTTTTCCTCCTCTCCAAAAGGATGAAAGTCCAAGTATTTAAAAGTACCAGGGGAAGTGCAGTGCCTGAAGTTTGCCAGGAAATGAAGCAACTCATACAGAACATTTCCATTCTCTGTGGCACACTGAGACAAGAGTGCTGATGTGAATGGAATTCATTAGCTGGAGACCAAAATACAGATGAGCAGTTACCCATCATCTGGAGAGATGGCCAGAGCATTTTCAGAGTAGTTGTCAAGCTGTTGAAGTCCATGTCACAAGCAAATATGAGCACCTGTTCCAAGTAGCAGGAGATTCTGGTTTTAAAATGGCTCGGTAAATAAAACATAGGTCTTTGAACAGAAAAGTCTCATCCTGCCACCTGCAATTGAAGTTTAATCTTCCTAGAAATACTGAGAAACTTCTAGTACTGCCTGGTAGTTGCATCTTTTGTCTTGTTTACTTAATCCCTAGCCCACTGTGGTTACTTTAACCTGCAACTTAGTCTCTACTGGTATTAAGACTTCATGCTACGTGCCTAGGACCAATGTAATTCCTCACTAGTAATAACCTCTAAAGTGTTATTTTAGACAGTATCATCGTGGCCTTACGCTGCTTTAACAGAGTTCAGCTGACCTATTGGTTAAAGAGAAAGAAAAATCTAGTGGTTAGTCTGTGATGGGTTTTCAGTTCTCACAGATATCTGTGGTCTGTAGTACTGATCCAGGTAGAAATAGAAGGCTTTAACTACGACAGAAAAAAAAGGAAAAAAAGGTCAAACTATGAACCTGTGCAGTGCTACTTTAATGAGGTCTCTGTAGGGAGCACAGCTCCTGAAAACCAGTACTGGCAGCGCTACCCATCAGCAACAGGAGCAGGGAAACTTGGTGCTGCGCTAGCAGATCTGCAGCTATCTAGAAGCTCTGCAATTGTTGCTGTCATTAGGGAGAAACAAGCCCAACAACCTACTAAAATTTATGAAGGAAAAATTCCCTCCAAGGTGCAGATCAAGAATTACCTCTTTCTGACTTTGAGCTACATGTAGGGATGTCAGTACCCTTGGGAACAACTGGCTTGATTCACACAAAGGTATCCTGCAGATGACGCTCTTTCAAATGCCCTTGAGCACAAACCCTCCTAATAAAAACACAAATAAAACTCTTCTCCCCCAAAGTAACTCTCTGTACAATGCTCTAACTGTATTTCATTGTGTTTTCTGCACTGTATTTTCTCTCTAGTTCTGTTTTTTCTTCTTTAAAAGAAAAGGGGGGGGGGGAAGAAAAAACGAAAAAGGTCTCTAAGCTTCCAGTTGCTTCCAGATAAACAAACTGTCTATTCTACTTCCATCCCACTTGCTTTTCCTTGGGACAGATTTTCTCCTCGGATCCCTAATCATTCTTGCAGCTCCCTGCCAGACAGACTTCCATGTCACACACGTTGCCAGTGCAGTTTGCACGCACACTGCTCACATGCCAACTGGGCTGAGATCCAGCAGCACAGTCTTCAGCAAGTCATTTGGCAGGCAGAATCACAAAGTTCATAATGACTGAATAGTTTCTGAAGAGCCTAAACAAAATGCAAGGACCTTAATGAACCTTTTTTTACTTATAGAAGAGTGCTCTGATTGATATCTATTCTTCACACTGCTATTGCAGTCTTAAATGCGCCTATAGCATTGCATTTAAAATGGGTTTAAAAAGCCCCCTGCATTCAGTGGAAGAATTGTTTCACTGGGTACAGCCACAGCTGGACTTCTGAACAAAGGAATCTTGTAGATCCCTAACTCAGTGTGTAATCGCGGTCTGTTCCTGGGGAGCAGAAAGCTCTTTCAAGGGAACGTGGAAAGCCTAGGGAACTGCAAGTCAGTTGATCTGCTCGCAGGAAGGATGAGGCTCTGAGCCATGCAGAAAGCCCAGCGATCATCCTAGGGATGCTGAGGGAGCACAACGAGGCAGTTAATGTAAGGAGCGTGTGCTGAGTTAGCAGGTGTCAGTCTGTCTGGCAGGTCAAGCAGCCCGTTAGGGAGATGCTGTTGAAAGCAAGCTGTGCAGCGGGGATAAGCTGGAGAGCTCTAGCTAAAGCCAAGTCCCCAGGTAGCTTCAAGGTGTGGAGGTATGGATGGAGACAAGTAGATCAATCCGTGTTTAGAAACACAGCTGAACAACGCTAACGGGTTTTGCTGGCACACTGGTTCGGGTAGGAAGCTCTGCAGAGGTGTTTTTGCATGTGCTGTTGTACAGAGGCGTTGTTACAGCTGTCTGGTAGCGAGCTGTGAGTGGCAGAATCTAACGGCTCTGTAATGAGCCCTGTCCCCCATCGAGTCTCCTGGCAGACTGAAAGCACCACAACCTGTTGAATCTTTAACCGATTCTGGAAAAGCTGCTAGGCTTTAAAACCCCTAATAAGCAAATGATGCTTATTGTGCTTATGCCCACGTGGGAGTTCAGCTTCAAAGCCTTTGTGTACAAAGACATGCAACAAAGATTTCTTTCTTTATCCTAAGTGTGTGCAAAGTCAAACCAGCATCAAACACTAGAAAGACCTATGCTGCCTCTGTAATGCAGGAACAAGCAATCCAATTCAAGGTCACGCACCAGCTTTGGCACTTAAATTTTCCTGCTTCTAGGTCCTGTGAGGTTGTCTCAGGCATTTGCTCCACAATCCAGCGTGAAGTGCTTCATGTACACAGGTGGACCCAGGTATTTGGTGCAAACTTGTGTTAAGTCTATGAAGTATAAATAGACAAAACTTGTTTGTAACTGCATTTTGCTGTCTATGTGGGCAGCTGGGAGCTTACTGGTGCACTCAGTGACGTTGGCTTTCACCATTGTATGTTCTGTGTGTGTAGTCATTTTTTCCAAATTGTCAGTTTTCAGAATATTTCTTCCTTAAAAGGAGAAGGAAAAACAAATAATAATAATAACAGCAACAACAACACCTTAGCATTCCTCTATGAAATATCTGATGTTTCCTGGAGGGGGAGGCCTTGTTACAATGCATTACAATCCTAGAAGCATTTCAAGTGTGGCTCCGTGATATTCAGTTCCTTGGCTAGAAAAAATGACTCTCAGCCTGTTGAAGTCCTTACAAATGAGCCATGCCTAAAGGCAACATTTAAACAGTAAACTATCTTTTTAAATACTGCAAGGTGTAGTCTTGTAATCACTTATGTTCTCATCTTTACGATTATTAAGTCCCATGTGGGTTGCACATGGGGTCTTGGGAAAATAAGGATGCATTTGCAGCTTCTAACTAGCTAGTTTTTTCGGTCACTGTTTTTGAAATGCTTCAAATCTCTAGATGCAAGGAATAATAATACAAAGGGCTTTCATAAACAATTTCAGCTCTTTAATAGGATGTTTGGAGACTAGTTCCCCTAATCCCAGTGGATGTGAGTTTAAATTGCACATCAAAGGTTACAGATCCTCTGATTTTCCATGTGAAATTGCAGTCTGCCCTTCATCATCTCTCCAGCTGCCAATATGCCATTTCTTCTCAATCACTTCACTCACTTTTTCTCTGCAGGAGAGGTCGTTACATGCAAACCGTCTCTTAAAGGGTCATGTATAGGGTCAATATTTGTGGGATGCACTGTCTGCGTTTACAGTAGAGTGGGAACAGATTGTTCCCAGCTTTGACCCCTGGAAGTGCACGCTTGCTGTAATACAAAGTACAATTTTGTGATGTGATAGCTACCCACTGCATGGTTATGCTTGTATTTTTTTTCATAGCCCATTTTTAAGCTATTCATGAAACCTGATTATTTTTTTTATTTTTTAGAATAAAACCTTCCCTACTAAAAGGTGTAGCAAATAAAGTTTTCCTGGAAAAGATGAAAGGGTTGGGATCTGAACTTGGCTGAGTTGTTTGTTTGTTTATTTAAAGGAATTTTATTTTATTTTTTTTTGGTTAAGAGTGAAAAATGGCTCCCACAAGAAGAAAAGCAACAACCACAAAATCTTGCAACCAATTTATATGAAGGTCTACAGTCAAAACAGTAGAAAAATGACAATTCTCAGAAATTGCCTTCAGTGAGAAGTGGCTTTGAATGTTCCCATGAAAATCAATCATGTTACAGCTTCTCAATTGCATTCTGTGGATGCATGATACTCCTGGGACGGAGCTTGCTCACTAAGTGTGCACTGAAGGAAGTCCGTGCTACACACAGCTGGCTGCTGCATT